AAAAGACGCTTAGGAAACTAAGTCGGACTAGGAGGTAAAGAATCTGTGCAGAAAATTTTGACTATTAAAGACTTGACTAGTGAAGAGAAACATAATTAAAGTATTAATAAACTTCCAATGAGAAAGTAGGTGCATTATTAGAATCAGTGAGCAATTTAAACGTCTGTCCGAACGTCCGAACGATTGAATCGATATCGATCTATAGTAGATTTGCTAATGGGTCTAGAGACATGACCTTGAGCAGATATATTGTATCCTCGTCAGAAACGCCTTTGCGGTTTTTGCGCCCCATCTCATTTTAAAATATATATAGAAAACTGTTGCGTGGTGATATTAATAGAAATAAGCAAGCCAAAGGCGAAAGGCGAATATATATGTAATGACAAAAATAATTGGCGTAAAAACTAAGGCAGAACGTGTTTAAAAAGAATTTTGCAATTCGTTTTTGAGCAATTCGTGCATACTAAGGCTAACATAATATAAAAGTATTGCAAAAAATTCTTTGAAAATAAGAATTTCAATTAAATATTCTAACGAAATAAAGATTTAAAGTTCTTTGAAAAGCTTCGGTTTTTATATATATATAAAGATATTCAAAATAAACATATATTTAATTATTTAGAAAAATTAAATTAAATCATTTTCTGTGAGTACCGGAAGTGAGGTTCTGTATATGTAAAGCATTTTTTGTTTGTTTGTTTTTTTTTTTAATTTTTATTAAATTTTTTAAAAGAATGAAAAATTAAAAAGAGGAAAAAAGATCAATAAATTAATAAAGATTTTTGGAAAAAAAATTTCACACAAAATTATGTGTTTTAGGAATGTGAGTGTGAAAAGTGAATAAGTCAAAGATACTTACAATTCCATAGAGAGCACGGTTGGATTAGGACATGCTTGCGGTGCACGAATGTGGCATTGTTTGTGGCAGATCAACTGACAGTCACGACATTCGTACCTATTAATTAATATTAGTGATATTATAATTTTTTTTTTTTTTTGTTATTTTATTTATTTTCGTACCCCTGTTTACCCGGTCGGCGTGGAATCGATTTCATGCATATTGAACATTGTAAGCCGCTTCTAAGGGGCAGATGGGAAAGGAAAAGAGAAAATGTTATTTTTTTTTAATCAATCAATAAACAATAAACAGTTTGAATACAAACCCGCTTAAATGCTTAGCAATGAAAGTGTGATCATTGTAAATATGCAGTTTCGTGCCCTTACGACGCCATCGGGGACGTTGTGCTATATTCAAGGGCACAATGAAATGCCTGGAGGGATATTTTCAAAAACAAAAAAAATCTTAAAATATTAGAAAACAAACAAAACAAATTTTACACCCATCATCGTTCCGAACATCGGAAAGGACGTATTAGAGGTCCTTAAGATATTATTATAATAGTTTTAGGCAAACATAATCTGAATTAAATACTGAGGATATTGAGTCCACTTTGACAGTTTAATAACATGGGCATAAATTGATTAAACAGCCGAGCGTAGTTAGTTACAAAGGTTCCATTTATGGGAAAAAACCTATACTTAAATATCGGCCTCGGAAAGTTAACGTAAAATCGTTGACGCCTATCGAAACCGTATATTGGATGATGGGTGTACAAGCACAACTATCAACTAATATTCAACTTACCTTTTGACACCATTTTCTATAGTCTCAAGCACCAAAGTGGATGCTTCATGTATATAAGTTTTTGTGCTGGCTGAAGAGAAACCTGAGATAGCTGAGGACTCTGAAAGTGAAGAACGTCTTGAATGATCTAAAGTGGGCGATAAACCCGTACGACGTCCTGTTTATGTTTTTGTTTTTTTTTATTTTTATTAAAGTTGATTCAAACACGTATATATATATGTTTGTATGCATGTATGTATAATTACATAAAACATCCAATTAAATAATTCAGTTAAAAAAAAAACAAAAAAACAAAAAAAAAAAAATTAAAAACCAATTTTCATAACCATAAGTTATTACAAACAGACCAATTCACCGAGATATTAAACAAATAGATTTTAAAAAATCACCGCATATATTAATTTAATATATATATATAGATATATATATAAAAAAAAAATCAATATGAAATGAAAAATGGGGAGAAAGAGAAAAAATATAAAAAATAAATAAATTAAATTATATAAATTAAACAAAAAATAGATATATATATATATATATATATGCACATATATATATATTTTTGCAAGATCAATTACAAAAATTTTATATAAGTTTGTGACACGAGTGGTAAGTACATCAAGCGAATGTATGTAAGATTAGTGAACATAGAGAGTAAGTGCGTGTAAATTGCATACATACAGTTAATATTTATTGTTGTTGTTGTTGTTGTTATTATTATTATTGTTATTGTTGTTAGACAGTTAAACACAGTTAGTTAACATTTAAAATGTATGTGTGTTGTGGATGGTGTTGTTGTTATTGTTGGGTATAACAATTAAATCGATGTCAAACAACATGAAACGTTTGTTTGAGCAAACGTACGAGCGAGATAGAGAATATACGATACAAAGATATAAAGAAAAGGAAAAAACAACAAATAACAAAGAGAAAATTAAAATAAAAGTATATAATAGAGAGATGAGAAGAAGTTAGAAATGTTAATGATTTTGTGACTAAGGGAAAAAGAAAACCAGAAAGAAAGAGAGGAACTGAAGGAATATTCATTACATATCTGCTTACATAGATTCAGACAAATTCATTGCACGAAAAATGTTATTTACAGATCTAAAAGATATTGAGCCTTGAGAAGATCCAGTCTTTTCTACGCCTTCAAATGCATGCTTCACACATTTCATTATCTCATCATATTATCATCTGACTAAAATGTCAACATTTTCATATGAAAGCGTCACCAGTATAGGGATAAGTTGTCAATATATTTGTTTTATTTTACTGAAATGTTTATGGCATAGTTTTTGGGTTACTTATTCTTAATTCTAAGGACAGTTTATAAAAACGATGTACAAGGCGCGCAGTAATCGGAATATTACCGTCGACAATAACAAAGTCGACTATACGTTGTGTGTGACTTGAAAGAATCAAGGAGATATTAGGTATACTGCCTTGGGTCACGAAGCTGCCACCGGGGACAACTGAACAGAAACTGCTATCACGGGGGAAAGTGAACCGAAAACCATTCGAAAAGGCGTAGGTTGATTTTTTATGTGCAAAGACACTCGATCTGGAACGTGTATCCGTCTTAAGTCTCCTTTTTTTGGCTACAATTAGTTTTAATCGCATTAACTTATTCTCCGTCCATGGACAGCCTCGAAAGATCAAATGGACAAAGTAATGACAAAGGAAGGACAACACTCTTATAATGGATTTCTTACAATTTTTTCACCGATTTTTTCACACCACTTGGAGCGCAAAATTAACGGTATGAAATATAGGACCAATTTTTTTTTAACCCTAGCATATATAGGCGCTACCACGAACAGCAAGCCCTTATATTGAGAGAAGGCGTAATTTTCCAATACGCGGGTTTTCCTAAAAATTGTGGCTTTGCATGAAAATAATGCGTACTTTTTGTACGAGTGGAAAGCTGTGCTAGGCGAAGTAGTCCAGGGTATATAGTGCCTCACTATAAAGTTCTTACTTGTATTATAAATATTATTGTTTCCTTTGTCGACTCGATTATCAAAAAAATTGAGAGTCGCGGGATTTTACACGGAATATCTAAAGCAAAAGATATTGAGTGAATAAGAACAGTTAACATAAAATGTTTTCCTTAAAATTTCTGTTAAACTGACTTAGGTCAAGTGTCAAATAAGTTGAACTTAAAAACTTTCTATAATAGGCATACATGTTATGGAAGTCAAAAATTCTTAAACTTGATCTCTCTCTCTCTCTCTCTCTCTTTTTTTCTAATCTTCTCTTTCTCTTTGGAACAAAAAATTTGTATATTATAACCAATACATGAACCAATTACTGTACTATGCAGTTAATAGCAACAATTTTGCTTTTGTTGTTCTTAATTTCTTTCGAGCGCTTGGTATGTAATGAAGTGATCTTGTGTTTAGTTTGTGCAAATATGAATGATGAGGTGCATGTCGTGGATGGATTACCGGGTAATTACCAAGTGAATTGCTTTTAGATAAAACAGCACGATCGACAGATAATGAACGTGAATCACCGTTAAGTGTTCCGGTAGGGGTTGCAACATTATTGTTATGATGTGACGTTAAGACGCCACGATCAGCTGAATGGGTGCGTGTCTTAGAGCGACTTAAACGTTTTTTCAAGGTACCAAAGAAATTTCGTTTCTTACTCCTACCGCGTTCATCCAAATCAATTTGATTGGCTGGGATGCCAGGCGCTGTCATCGCCGTTGCATTTATTGTTGTAGTTGTATTTAAAACATCGCCATTACGGGGTAAATTACTATTATTGTTAAGAGTAGATTGGGCAGCATTGGTAGCACCGTTGTACGAATACATGTTATTGTTGTGACCATTTTGAGGTGAAGACGCAGCATTCGGTTGGCCAAACTAAATAAAAAAATTATAAATATAGAGAGAAATGAAATAAATTTGGATTTGGATATATATTATCGATCGGAAAAATCGCTTTTGAACAACTTTTACTTATTATTAAGAAAACTTTTGCTTTCGAATGCGTTTGAATTCTGTTCGTCGACTTACCTCTGTTATGGAGTTTCCTAAAGCGCTGTCGTTACCTGTTTTCTGCGCTGAGTAAGCACTTTGTTCATTGGCATTGGCAGACTCTGTAACACCGTCCGTAGTATCAGCCACATCATCTACAATTTCCTCTATTTCATCTGTGGTATCTGTCGAAAGTTTGCTTTCGATTTTCTTCTTTTGTTCTGTTTGTTGATTTTGTTGTTGTGAAGAGCTATCGTCTGCCGTTATAGTCGCTTTCAACACTTCATCATCAATTACTTCCATTTGACCATCTTTGTTTAACTCGACCTTTTTTGTGGTTTTTTTTTTTTTTTTAATTTTTCGTTTGCAGAACAAAGGTTAATTAAGCAGTCAAACAAAACACATTCAAAAAACATCAATTAATTAGTTTCACAAGAAGATAATAAGCTTCGTTAGTGTTTAAGAGAATTTTATTGTTATGAAAGCAACATAAAGCCAAAATTGAAAATTTCTTAATTGAAATTTAACTGAAAATTTTAGAAAATTGAAAGAAGAAAACAAATTTTACCTTAAATGCACTTAAGTTTTTGGAATTCTATTTAAAATCCAATCAGCATAGGCGTTTAAGTGTTTTTGTAAAAATAAAATGAAATGAAAAGAAACAAAAGAATAAAAAAGCTTTATAAGCCAAGCATAGATTACCATCTCTTAATAATTTTTTGTCTTATTATTGCCCTGCCCCTCCTGCAAAAGGATAGATATATACTCCACATTTTATTATCCCATCACAGAAATCTGCTATGCGTTTAATGGAATCGAAAAATTACTCTTAGAAGATTCTCAATCGATTTGACGACTCCTATGCCTCCTATGTCAGCCATTCGGACTGTCGCCCATCTGTGTAGCCGAGCTCATGAATAGAAGACCGAAGACCGAAACGTGGCATACACTTTCGAATAGATCGCCCTTAAGTTAAGTTTGAAAGCAAGTGCAAACATTATAGTCGGGCTAGGCCGACTATTAAATAGTCTACATCACACGCACAATTCTTATTTCTACCATAGAACAAAAAAAATATACCCTATTTTTATAGGAATTTATTATTATGGGACTGTATATTATAAATTAGACCCTTTTGCAAATGAAGCCTTGCTTTCCGGTAGAATGGTTGCGTTCAAGAGGTTCAACAATTATTATTATTGTTATTTTACTATTATGGGTTAATTCTCATCATATTGATTTAAAAATTTAGGCTTTCCTGCCCTACAAAGGTTCAATTTTCGTATTTCCGTGAAATAGGCCGATATAGTCCACATTTGGTACAGTTCAGTTTTTTATGTTATATTACTGTTATGATATAATTTTGGTCGTGAAGCATTGATAATTATACTTTTTTGTCGTATGAACTTCAGTTTTCGTTATATGAGAAGAGGTTCAAAAATTACACCGCCTGGTCCAAAGTTTTCATACCAATGTGGAATGCTGAAATACTACTACTTAGTCACATTTGCCAAGAAATTGTAAAAATTTCAATTTTTTTTCCATAAAACGACTTTTCAGAATAGAGCCTCGTATGGGGAGCGATCAAAAAAGTGGACCGATCCCAATCATTTTCAAACAAGTACCAAATTTCATCAAAATATCTCAAAAATTGCAACCCGTAACTGAAACACAAATTTACATGGACAGACATCAGACGGGACAGACAGGCAGATAAACAGTCTTAGATCAATTCAGATTATGATTCCAAATCGATTAATGAAAGATGGGCCTGTCTTAAGGTCTTCCGCGTGTTACGTACGTCCGCACTTACTTGATATACCCACAGAATATGCATACAAATGTGGTGTAGAGTATAATGGTTATAACGATTGCACCCACCCGTCTCACATTTAAGAAAAATTGCATCTCACGTTTAATACTTCGGACAAACATGAGAAACATGAGTTACCGCTTGCAGCCTATAAGAGGCATTGATCTAAAGCCTGGAGCCAATTTTTTCCAGAGCCAGCGATAGGAGCCAACTGAAACATTACGACAACACAATGTCAGTTCGAGCTTGTTTGAGCTAGCGAATTCCGGACTTATCCTAAACTAAACTAGTTTTACATAAATTATCCTCAAAAGCAATGTGAATGCTAATGTTAACATCATTATGTTAACAGTGGGTGATTGAAAGTATATTCGAGGAAACTGTACTTCTCAAAATTGCTACGAATATAATCGTCGGTAAAACAGTTCAACCAAAGCAGAGAACAAGGAGCAAGCTGAGCCTGCGGGTGAAGGTAATTATAAATGTGAAAACAGGTATACGAATTCTTTCTTCTCTTTTTCCGGGTTTCTATAATGATCATTGGACGCCTATTATAGATATGAACAAATTTGTTTCCTAACAGTAGATATAGCTTTTTTTTTGTTGTTGTTTTTCTTTCGTTTGTTTCGTTTGCGTTAATTTCTTATTTGATTTTACTTACCCTCTGAACACTATGTATAATTAAAGTACTTTTACTAGGATGACCCGTAGCGGCAGGGAAGGCACCCTCTTGTAAGGCACGTACGGCAGCGTCTGCCAAATTAGAACCATTCTTCATATGCTCGGTAATGGCCGGGGTGCTAATGTGCAGAGCTTCCTTAAGTTTATAGGGCGGTCTGGTGGCGAAGGCAGGTACTTCAGCGCCCTCAATAAACACAAAATCGACTGTAATATTACCGTAAACTGGTTGTGTTTCATAAGGACGCGGTTGTAAGGTAAGAATCTGAGTCAAAGCGGGACCCACAGCCAATTCTTCGATACCAACCAAACCTAAACCTAAAAACTTTGGAGGATCTGAAGCGTTAGCTGGACTATCGTAAACTTCAAACAGTATCTCTGCCGATTGAGATGACAAGTCGCTGGTTATAAAAAAAAAAAAAAATTAAAAATATTTAAAATATAATAATAAAAAAAAATTTGCGGCTTACAAGAGAAAATGTTCATTCCATTGAGGAGTTGAACCGGACATTGCTGCAGTTTGATTTTTCTGTGCGGGTTCATCCATTTCCACTACTACATAAGGATTTTTGGCTTCTTTTAGATCTTCGCCGTTAACAATTTTCACCAGTAGGCGTCTGTTCGCACTAGTCATAAGTCGCGATTGGGGCTGGTTCGTGGAATCCATTGGATGACTCTGAGTTGGGAGGGGCACAGTGAAGTATTTATGTAATGAGCAAAATGATTTAAAATGAGTTTGATTTTCATATTTTCTTCTTCTTCTTTTTTTTTTTTTTTGAAGATGCATTTTTATTTTTTATTTAAACATAAAATAAGCCTTTGTCTCGAAAATGAATAAAAATCATAAAATTTATTAAATTAATAAAATAATTTGGTTAAAATTTAGTAAAATTTTTCTTTTTTTTTTTAGTAATTGTAAAAATAAGTTCCCTGTGAAGAAAGAAAAAAGAAAATGAAATTAAAAGTAAAAAGAAAAAAAAATTAATTTAACAAATTTTGTTGAAAATCCCTTAGTTAATCTATTATCTTATCAACACTCAAAGGCGTATTTTAGGTTTTTGGTGAGAATCATGTAAAAGAAACTTGAGGCATGTGGTGGGTGTCAAGAACAAAGAGAAGTGTTGAGGGCTTCGATATGTAATGTTGACAATTGTGTATGTATTTTGGATATTTTTATGCATATATTTTCGATAAAAAAAATTTGATAGAATTTTTGCTTCTCAGTGTTCTTAAGCTCACCGCCATTGGATCAAAACCAGTTGGATATATTACTGGCAAATCTGTGGGTTCGACTTCAGCTCGTGGACAAGACGAAAACATAGAGAAATCCACCGGATAGACAGTATCGCGCAGAGCCCGAGTTAGTATCTCAGCAGCTTCTGACTCAAATTGTTGATCCTCGGGATCTATGGCCTTAACTGGACCTACGGTGTTCATGGCAATACGTATCTAAAACAAAAGAGGCCAACCTTACAGTGAATAAATCAAATAAAAATCATTAAAAATATCATTTTGAGCGAGACTTACATCGGGATATCCTTCAACACGCATATCACCCTTCAAACTATTATAGTTCATTGCGTTAGCCATGCGAGCACGAAATCTGGATACAGTTACTTTATAATGAGATGTTTCGAATTTACCCGATTTTTGACGCATCGTCTTCATTTGTAGAACGGGCATAGCATCACAATCGAAAGTAATCAGCTAGAGACAAAGAATTGGGAAAGAAGTTTAAGTTTTTTTTCGGGAAAACTCAAAGAATTTTCATTTACCATATCAGCTGGATTGTTCTCATCGGCATTACAGAATATGTTGCTTAAGCCGGGTGCGGGGCTGTCAGGTAAAACACGTACTATTTCAACCATAATTCCTTGCTATAAGAAATGAAACGGAAGTTTGATAAGAGTTTCATTATATCTACAACATGGATATGCTCATTTTGTTTTTTTTTTTTATAATACAAGTAACAACCAAAAGGAAGCTTCAGAGACCCTTTAAAGTAGATCTATTCTTGATCAGCGTGAAATTCTGAGTCCATTTAGCCATATCCGTCCGTCTGTGTGGGTTGTTATTTGCACGTTAGGGGTTTCTGCACGCAGGTTGGTATTGAAAAAGATCCAAATTGACCAGAGCAGAAGTCCTCAGTGGAACGTAAGCTGTTTTTCCTAACAAAAATTTGTAGCTTTTTGCTCGTTACTCAGAAAGTTAGAAAGCTGAAATTTTCCAAATTTATTTTACGAAACGTTCTACGCTTTATGTGCAAACATGGAGAAAATCGGCCCTGCCCACACAAGGGTACAAGTAAATAAATTTTATTTTTTCACTTTTTTGACGTTTTATGCTTATTTATCATAAGGCAAACAAGACAGAATGTTTTTAACTATATTGTACTTTCCTCAAATGAAGATATATTGTCTGCCTAAAAATAGGCTAATTCCACCTCGATCTGGACCTGGATGAATTAATTTTTTCTTCATAATACCAGCGATATGGGAAGAAAGAATTTGGAGAGTAGACTGCGAAAAGCATAGTGGTGGGTGCACGAGATTCGATGTCACCTTTTCAACGAGCATAAATCTGAAATTGTTTGATCGATACTTTACGAGAAATCTATCAGTGCAGCCATCTACCGAAAAAATAATGGATTTCTTTTTCCTCAACCTAATATAACTTTCTTACTTGTTATATATTATTTCGATATATAAATTCCTATTTTAGATTTCCGCCCATCCTTTTTATTAACTTCTTTCTGCTTCCTTGTTTAAAGAATGCTCGAAATGAGCAAAGCATTCCAAGCCTCAAGCGAGGAAAAAAATGTGAACCAAAGTGCTAGCGCTTCCTCTTCTTCTTTCTATTAATTATGATATATAGATCTAATTAAAATCTTTAGTCTTTTTGAGAAACTTTGAGCGATAGCTGTGATTTTAGGATGCTCTCCACTCCTAAAGCATCTAAGTATTGCAGGCAAAATCATGTCAGTAAAGTTTTAAAATTTAATTTAGAATTTCTCTCAATATGTTTAACTGACGTCGCCTTTACACATACGTATCATTTAAGAAAAGAAAAATGCCATTAATTAATACACTCAGTCAAGCCTACAAATTAGCTTGGAAAACAAACGATTACGTAATTTTACTTTATTTATATATTCTGTTCATTTTTTTTTGTATTGAGGTTTCTCTCATTATGATTGTAATGCATGAATCAGTGTCGTCGAGTCGTAATGATGACGGTTACACCAAATGAATAAAAACCAATCAAACAAAACTCGACACATATTCACTTCAATAGATATGCGGTACACTAAGCTTTTAATTGCGGCTTTTAGAAAATTTCTTATTCATTTGTTTTTGCAATCGATTCAGAAATGCAAAAAAAAAAAAATAAAAAAAATGCTACAAATGATAAAAGAAGATTCTTCATAAAGTCCTAGAGGTTTTAAGGAGCGCTAAGGCAATTGTTTAAAGAATTTATTAGACGCTTAAAAATACTTCTTTCCTAATTTAATTAAAAACAAATTACTTTAATTTATAACCGCAAGCAATGAAATCAATAAAACCAACACTTGAACCCGCTGACCTGGTTTTCAAAAAAGTAGTCATCAATTGTTTATGCATAATTTCACTAACACCATTGCAATGCAATGCCAACATTGCTTGTGCTTATAATAAAGAAAAAACAAAGAAGTTTCTATGGTAAGAGACGAATTTCGAATAAGTTAAACTTCCATTCCGATCATTCGTTCCATGCATTCGTTATAATTAATTGTAACTCACCTCATCGGTTGTTTTCCTTAGGGTATCGTTTAGAGCAATAACCCAGGACATTAGTAATTCATTAACAATCACCAAATCGCTATAAAGCCAACGGAATACATGACTAGTCCAAGTAACTGAAGACTAAAAGTTCATAAGCAATTTAATGAATTAAACCTTTCGAAGAAAATTTCTTTAGTTTTCTTAAAAAAAACTCACCGTTTCTGGTCCTACGACATTTGATGGCGGTGGTACATATCGCCTTTTAATATTCTCGGGGCCCGTTGAACTCTGTCTAACCATTCGTCGTCTTATCGAAGTTGCCCCAGGCGCGCCTGTCGGGGTTTTAACACTTCGGGCCGCTCCAGCGCCTACTGCGCCAGCTGCTGCTGTAGGCTTACTTAGCATTAACTCTTTCATATCCGTTTTACTGGCTTGTATTTCTCGTGGTTCGGATAGTCGAGTTTTTTCTGCTTTCCCAGTACCGGGCCCAACGCTACTCTGACGACTGGGTGTAGTCGCCCCGGCAGCCTCTTTCTCTTTCGAATATTTTTGGTAGAGATATTTGCACAGCCATAAGGAGAACAGAGCCAAAACCGCCCATAAAAATATAAATATCGCTAATGAATCCATTGTTATATCACCGAGACCCTCAAATGAACATATATAATCATCGATTTGATCAGCTAGATCCATAATTTATTTAATCGCAAAATTGTGCAATTTGTTTACGCATCATAGCTGCAAAAAAGAAGAAATTGAAGTAGCTTTTAATATAGTTTCACCCAAGAGAAGGAAAGGGAGAGAGAGAGAGAGAGATATTGGCCAGTAAGGTCTGTAACTAACTTAAATGAACGGAGAAAATTTGATAAAAATCGTAATCGGAATCTCAAATCTTCAGTGGCGAGGAGTCAAGAACCACAACTTTTCCAATAACGAGTCAAGAGATCCTGGATTGCATTTTTATCCGCCAGAGTCTTCAAAATAGTAAAACACCAATTTCCCATCAGTTGTATAAATGTATAAGGGAAGTACAACCACAACTATCCATATAACGTAATAGCAATTTTTATAATTTCGCAAATTCTCTATAAAGTATTTTGACTCTTTTAAGCCCTTTCCCTTTTATAAACACTATTTAGTGGATGGTTGTAACGTGGCTTATGGCAAATAAGAAAATCAGTTTATTAGAGACTTAGAGAAAGACAGTGTCGATGAGCGCCCTATACATATATGTAGTTCTTCATAAAATACTTGGAAGGCATTTTTTTGCGGAGGTCTACAACAAGTGGTCGAACTTAATCGCCAATGTCTTGAGTCTGCATAAATCAATGGATCTCTAAAGTTCGCTTAAAAGTTTAAATATGAATAATTCCCTTACTTATCACAAGGATGAGGGGTATATTCATTTTGCCAAAACGAAACAGGAAGAATCTTCAGAAACCCCACAAGGGTTGCTTCGCATTAAATTCTAAATCAATTTTAGCATGTCCGTGTGTCCGTCTATATAATATCTGCTACAAACATTATTCTGCCTACCAGCGACTTCAAATTTGGCAAAAACATTGGAAGTTCTTGCACGCAGCTTGGTATTGAAAATGCGCTCAATCGGGCGAAGGAAACATCCGCAGTACCACGTAAGCTTGAACACTTCGGTTTGTTTTGTCAGAAACTATAGCAGATAAATGTATCAAAATTTGGAGGCATGTTCTAAAGGCGATTCTATGGCACCTGTACAAGAATAGAAAAAATGACCATGCCTACCCAATATTATAGTGGATCAAAATTTAATTTTTTTTAAGGCGCAAAAACAACTTTCAAAAACTCCATAACATATATAAATTCTTAGCCAGTTTCAAATTTGGAATGTACCTAAGCATCGTTAAGATGTCGCCTGCAAATTTTGCAAAAGAATTTGTAAGTGCATTAAAGTTATCAAAGGACACGCGTACAACGCCAACAAGACTATGCAGCAAAAAGTCTTGTTTTGAAAAGATAAAAAGTCACCCTCACCCACTCCGTTTTATAGAGGATGAAAATTTAGTTCGTTTACTGTTTCTTGTCTTTTTAAGGATAATGGCGATGGGTATAAGAGATTCGGTAATGGCCGAATATACTTTTCTTACTTGTTTCAAATTGAGTCTACTCAGCGATTTCGGTGAATGTTATTTGATTTATATGTGAAAAGTTAAAAGAAAAAAAAAAAAAAAATTTATTAAACAAACACAGGTTTCCGTAATCCTTGCGGCATATTTGTTAAATCTGGCTCGTTATCTGGGTGCAGTTGAAACATAAGAAAAAGTAAAATAAACTTTAAATTAAAATCAGAAACACCGAGAAAATTTTGCGCATATACACGCGTAGAGAAATTCGAAGAAAGAGATTTTTCTAATTAAAAGAGAAATCGTTAAAAACTATTTTTAGCTTTAAAAATTTTTCACAAAATTTCATATTAAAAATCTTCAGAAATATTAAATTCACTTCTTTTATTTTTTTATGTTTATTAACAAGATACTATCATTAATTTTTTATTATTAGAATGAAAAAAAAAAAAAATTGTATTATAATGAATAGTTTTTTATAAATATTATTAACGATTTGATTGAATTTAATTTTAGGTTAAGAAAAACTAACAAATTTGATGTTCAATCAACAAAAGGAAACTGAAAGAGGTGCGCCTGAGAACATTAGGCGAAAATCGAAAGCTTTTGATGTTTTGGTGTTTTGTTTTGATTTTCGAAATATTTTTGAATATTTTCTCAATGATTTTTTTTTTTTCAAATGACGTCATTGATTTTATTACCGCACCTTGTGTATACTATACACTGAGCGCTAATAAGTTTAACAAATACTCTAATCACACCTATGAAAATAAAATTAAGCCCTAAATGAGTCTTTTCAAGTCTTTTAATAGGAGTCATAGTAATTGAAACCAGAAAACAGGTACTTGAAGATAAAGAACTAATTAAATATGTTTTGAATGACGTAAGTGCTAATATGTTCTCTAAAGAGTTCAAATTCAAAATTACGAATAAACATTTTGCTAGTGGCAAACCCTATTACGGTATAAAGCCATCAGACACACCGACCGATGGAGAAGCTTAAATCGATTCGGAAAATGAATCGATCGGTATACTAAAAAGTGGAGGGTCCATTTCAAGATGAAGCTTAGACCAATTGAGAAAGTGAATTGATCGGTGCATTTCAAGACGAAGCTTAGATCCATTCACAAGTTTGATCGATGTAATAAGAAGTGGATTCCTTTCAAGACGAAGCTTAGGTCGATTCAGGAAATGAATCGATGGGTGTAATAACAGGAGGGCCTGTTTCAAGATGAAGCTTAGATCGATTCAGAAAGTGAGTCGGTCGGTGCAATAAAAGTTGGGTCCACTTCAAGACGAAGCTTAGGTCGATTCAAAAAGTGAATTGATCGGTATAATAAAAAATGGGTCTGTTTCAAGACCGTTAAACGGATACGAAACCAAGTCCAGTCATTTATCCAGCGGCGGTATGTTCTTCCAGTTCCTGCAAAAGTGCAGCGTAATCTTCCTAAAAGCGTAAGGAGCCCTCTTCGCTTCAATTGCAATCTCTCTGCCACATTTCTATCATAAGTTTATCGCCCTTTATATAATCAGCAAGAAGCTCAAGTGACTTAAGCTTGCTTCGTTTTATTATATATTCACAGATTGATATTAGTTCGAGCAAGTTTCATTGAATTGGATTGGGCATCTGCTAAACGTTTAACTTGTTCTTGTAATCGATTTTCTTCAAATAGTTGAGATGCCGTTCAGTAAATATTTTTCGTCTTTTGTTCATACACCATTTACACTTTTCTTGAATGATTATACACGAGCTAAACATAGGAGCAGATGACGATTTCAAACTTGTCAGAGATGTACAAAATGTGCTAATTATTGTTTGTTTTTTATACCCATCATTGAAGGATAAGCAGTGCACTCGTTTTGTCAAGACGTTTGTAACGCCCAGAAGCCCCCCAAAGAATATACATGTTCTAAATCAGCATCAAATTCTGAATCGATTTAAGGATGTACGTTTATCCAGTTGTCTGTCCGTCCGTCTATATTATGCCTGTTGTTAACACTCTCCTGGCCACAAACAAGAAGCTATCGACTTCAAATTTGACAAAAACATTGCAAGTCCTTGTACGTAGGTTGATTTTGAAAATATTCCAAATCGATCGAAGGACACGCCCAAAACACCACGCAAACTGAGCACACCTCAGTTTTTCAGAAGGAACAAACACTTTGTTTTTTGCTCATTACTCATAAACAATACCAGATAAATGTATAGAAACTTGAAAGCATATTCCATGATCAATGCTATAGTACGTCTATCGTTCGACTTTGTCGCAATCTCATTTTTTTTCAAAATCTTTACCGCAGAGAAGCAAACTTTAAAAAATCCATAAAATATATAAATTCTTGGTCAGTTTCAAATTTGGAATCCATCTAAGCATGTCAATCTGTTTGTCTGACCATCTGTCTGCACAACTGCGTAGTATGTGTGCTAAACATTCACCTGTTAGCGAAAACGAAGATGTCGTCTGCAAATTTGCAAAAGAATTTGTCAGTGACCTAAACTTTTCAAAGGACACGCCTACAACGAGCGCGAGCCTATGTGACAATAACTTTAATTTTGAAAATAGAAAAAATCACCCGCGCCCACTTCGTATTGTAGAGCATGAAAATTTTGTTCTTTTCCTGTTCTTGATCTTTTTGAAGATAATGGTGATGGGTGTAAAAGATTCGATCACGACCGAATGTAATTTTCTTACTTGTTTTTTGTTTTTTACCTAGTTTGCATTTAAAAATAGCGTATGCATGTTGTTGTTTGACTTGTGCTACACTACGAATGGTTATACATTATTATTCGAAAGACAATTACGAAATGCGATGGATAATCCCTGGTGCTCTACTCTCTGCTTATTTGAAATATTTGTTTATTCTACACTTTATATTGACTTTTCGAAAGCAGAGCATTTCGTTAGAATTGCGTTTCGCTCTGCGAAAATTCGAAAAAAACATCTGTTCAGTGTTAAAATGAAAATCTATTACTTCATTAATTTGAAAATTTATCACAAATGACGTCACAAATAAGTTTTTAAGATAATACAGCGAACAGCTATCTACGTCCGCTCCCATGTGCTTGGCATTATTTTAGAATTTTGTGTGTGTGAATGAGTTTTGTAAGCAGTTGTTAATGTTTATTACACTCGCCACAGGAGATGTTTATTAATTTGGCCAAAAATTATTGTAATGCACGGGAATGTTCCCCTTTTGTTTTTCACCATCAAAAATAGCAGATTCAATCGGGTTGTCGTCATCGATCTGTCCGTTTGTCTGTTTATATTTCTATACGATAATCTCTCGATTACGCAATTGATTTCTCAAATATTGAAAGCTGAACTTTTAGTCTTTAATGTGTGATGACATCTTGATTAATACGTTGCATGTCTTGCACATGCTTCGCGCAGTGATGTGTTTATTGGAGACCTAATAACTGATTTCAGAGCTAGAAAGTAACAGCGATCTACCAAAGAACAATAGTTGGCAGTTTTAAGTAAGGATTGCCCTCACGTTACCTTGAGTCATCAATTTCGAACCATGTTTTGTTTTCTACAATAAAGCCTTAGTCAAGCGAGGACAACAAAGTAGGAAAAAATCGGTCGTGACCGA